CATTCAAAGGGTCCCAAGCGCTTAGATCCAGTGGTCAAGTCTGTCCCCAGTGGGAATCCAGCCAGTTGCTAAGGACCCCATACACAGTCCAGTCACTGAGGCACCTGCGCTGGCAAGAGGTGGGTCAGGTGGCAGAGCAGTCAGCCCAGCAGGGAAACTGAGGTGTCAGACTACAGGGACTCACGAGATGTTAGGTCTTTGCCCCAAACCCTACATTAAACAGGACTCCCCCCAAGACCCAGGGCAGTCAGGCCCAGGTGGACGCGGTCACCACAGAGACCCAGGGAGTGCACTGAGCAGAACCACAGCGACCAACCAAACAGAAATTTTTTAAAATAAATCCATAACTCTCTTCCCCTGGTCTTCGGAATGTTCCAGAAAATATTTTCTTGGGTCAGATTTATCTTTCTGAATGGCCAGCACCTTGTACCCCCGCTCAGGGGACATCACACATTATAAACACTATAAGTGTGTCTATTGCCATAAACTTCCAACATATGGCAGTAAAGAGACTTGTGCTAGAAAAAACCTCCATATATTACGAGAGTTTTCCCACAGTGGGAGGACTCATCGTGGGAGAGGAGGGGGGAGATTTTGCCGGATGTGTTTAAGCTGTTTGGCCTGCTGGCAGGTTCGGCCTCCCCTGGGCGGGTGTTGCTCAGGCTCAGGAGTCCCCCCAGGTCCCCAGAGCAAGAGAAGGCACGAGTCTGCGGACCCACAGGGAGAAGCCTGGGCCAGGGGACAGAGCCGCCGTGGGCCTCATTCACGCAGTAAACACACGCTGAACCCCGCCAGTACGGTGGGGGTGCTGGAGGGCCATGTGGCCAAGCCTGGGCCCTTTTCCCCTGGGTCCTGGGATGAGAACCAACTTCACAGAGGAGCTGACCTGGGTTCAAGTCCGGATTCTACCGCTTGGGACGTAGTGAGTCGGGCACCCTCCCCAAGCCTCAGTCTCCCCATCTGCACAATGGGGATAAGAGCATCTGCTTCTCGAGGTGCTCACAGAAATCAGAGACCGGGCAAGTGCACTGCCCGAGCGCGCCTGCGATCGAGAAGCACTCGGAGCTCGCGGCCCAAAGCCACAGCTGCGCATACACCAGAGTTCACTTTTTGTTCTTTCTTAAAATCCTGGCCTGAGGACATTTTATTGACCTTAGAGCGGGCAGGGGAGAGACAGAGAGAAAGAAACATCGGTTGGCAACCTCGCATACATGCCCTGACTAGGGATGGAACCCACAGTCTTCTGGTGCAGGGGCAATGCTCCAACCAGCTGAGCCACCCGGACGGGGCCACATTAATTAATTCACTTTTGACCAGGTAAAGAATAATCCTCGAGTCACCTTGCAATGTCGCAAAGCGGTACAGGATTTGGGACGAGATCCCCGGACCCAGCGTAATGCAACGCAGCAGGGAGAACACCTCCCGCCCCGCGGCAGCTCCAGGGTCGAAGGAGGACACAGGCAGAGACACGATAAAGGCAGGAGACGTCAACGCCCCCTTTCGATGATGGACAGAACGAGCAGACTGATCAGAAGCAGAGGATTCAAACCAGGCTATGGGCCGTTCGGGCTGCAGAGGCGGCCTGGCCCCGGGCTGTGCTTCGTGCGAAGAGCTGCAGTCCTGCCAGTGAAGCGCATTTGAAGGTAATCCTGGCCCCTCCAGGCCCTTACTGGGCTCCGAGGGCGACCTGGCCCCCGACTTATGCTTCCTCAGACCCCGCTCTCCTCCCATCCTCCCCAACCCTGATGCTCGCTGCTCGGGGCCCTGCAAACCCCTGGCAGCTCTCCCCAAGTGCCCGCACCCTGACCGTGCAGGTCTGCAGCCGCCCCTCCCCGCTTCCCTCTCTCCACCCCCCTCTCTCCCCCTTCACTTCTCTCTCTCTCTGTCTCTGTCTCTCTGTCTGTCTGTCTCTCCTGTCTCAGTCTCCATAGTAAAATCTGAGGACTCAGCTGGGAAGGCCCGATGCTGCTTAGAGCACACAAGCAAGGCAGATGCCGTGGGGTGAGGAGAGGGCTCCCTGGCAGGGGGAGGGGCGCTCCCACAAACCCACGTGGCCGTATTTTACCACCTCCTTCAACTCAAAGCCCTCGTCGCTGCTGCCGCCCCTCCTCCGGCCTGCCCCGACTCCCTCCAACACAGCACTTGCCGCCCTGGCCTACTGCTGGCCCCGTCTCCCTCCGGGACCTGCGGGCCTGGGCAGCATCGGGCCACCTGCAGCCCCAGTGCTCCATGACCTCGGTCGGGGTGGATTCCGCTGAAGTGAGCCAAGCGCCAGCCCAGGACTGTGAGGGTCGAGGGAAGTGTGGGGTGAGCAGGAAACTCTCCGTGGACACAGAAGGGGCTGCCCGGTGCCAGGCTTCCTCTTCGGTCCCCGCCACATGGGGCCACCCATGACGGAGACAAAGATGGCTATGTTCTGACTGGGTGTGGAAGGAGTTTTCAAGCCCATAACTGTCATCAGCAGGTGTCAGAACAAACAAACTGACCTGCTTCTCCCCCACCCACTCCCCCACCCCCGCTTTATCCAGTCTGATAGGGAAACACCTTCCTGCCTCCTCTGGGGAGGAATCAGGACATGGCAACACTAAAATGTAATAATGCAACTCAAAATCACATGTAAGACCCTTTCCTCAGGAGGTGGGGCAGCTATACTCCCTCCCCTCCCCGACACTGGCCCCTCCCTTGGGACAGGGCCTTTCCCAAGGCCAAGGTCACGGATGCAGGCATTGGTTCAAGGCAGTGAAGCAGGAACGCAACTTCCAGCACCCGAACACATGGAGACGTGAGGAGAGAAGGCCGGTGTTGGCTGGGTCACAGAGCCAGCCGGCCCCGAGTCCCTGCGCCCCACTCACGGCCTGTGGCCCCGCAGAGCAGAACCAGAGGGGACTGCGGCCTCAGACCCACCCCGGAGTCTGGGTTTAGGATGAGCAGGGCGTACAGGGGTAGGGGGCCAGCAGCCACAGGGCGGGAGAGACAAGAACGAGAACCCCGGGAGAGGGGTGTCATTTCCAAGGGACCTCGAGAGCAGCAGTGATGTGCGGAAGTGGCCCCAGAGCCAAAATCTGAGGGTCTGTCCTGGAAGAAGCTGGTTGACCATGAAGGAAGAAGCTGTTCCATATTCCCCCGGGCTCTGTGTGTGTGTGGCCTGCTCAAGGCAAGGACAGTCGATTACGGAGCTCGTCACCTTCCTGTGCCCTGAAAAGACCCCGTTAGGCAGCTGCATTTGTCTTTACAAAGCACAACCCACTTGCAGAACCTGTTGATGGACCGTGGTGTCGGCTTGTTCTCGTGGAGCCGAGCTGAGCAACGAGCAGGTTGTGCTTCTCAAAACCCACAGCGAGACCCCCTCCCAAAGCCTCCCCACAGGGCGGCCTGGACACGCCTCCCAGTGACCAGTGGGGTCCACGTCACCCCCCTCAGATCGAAGTTGGCATGCAGCTGCTTCCACAACAGAATATGGCAGGGGTGACATTGTGTGGCTTCCAAGGCTCAGTTGTTCAAGGTCACGCGGTATTTGCCTTATTCTCTGAAACGCCCTGTTTGGAGCTCCGAGCGGCCATGGGAAAGGTCTGACCGCCCTGGGGCTGCCTGGCGGGCGGGGAAGCCAACTAAGTGGAGAGGCCACGTGTACGCAGTCCAGTCAGCAAGCTTAGCCCCCCGGCCATCCCGGCCCAGAGAGCAGATACGAATGAATGACCGCCTGAGGGAAGGAGGGAAGGAAGGAGAGAAGGAAGGGGCGAGTCTCCAGGGCATTCTAGACCCCCACCCTCAAGTCTCCCCACCAGTCTGGAGTCTTCCCGGCTGGCAAGCAGGCCCCACTGTGCTGCCTGAACTGTGACCCGCAGAAACCGTGAGCACGACTGACTTCCCGGATGTGGCTGTCATTTGTCTCACAACAATACTGACCAGAGCAGGCAGAGTCCAGGCACCGGCTACGTAACTCAGAAGGCTAGAAAAACCAGTGCTGTTAGTACAGGCCTAAGCACAAATGTGAGTTCGCTGGGGCCAGTAGTTTCACCTCCCTGGGCCTCAATGTCCTCATCTGTAAAGTGGGGACATTCCGCCCTTGTGGTGAGGATCGAAGCAGCTGCTAAAACACCCAGTGAACTCAGAGGGGGACTGTTTTGACTGGGACACCCCAAAATCAACCCATGTGTGGCAAAACCTGCTCCGACATTAATCAAGTTTCCCTGGGGATCTTGGTTAGACTAAACACCTTGCCCTAGTGGGAGAAATCAGTGAAATTTAGTTTATCTTCCCATGCTTTTGCTGTCATGGGTAATTCTGTAATGCATGGAGCCATCCACTGTCAAAATACGGGAAAAGGGTACACGGGGAAGCGGAAGAGGCAATCATGCAATAAACTCTCAAACGTAATTTTTCTGAAACAGTAACCAGGCTTGTGTCTCAGTTCAGCAGAGGGGCTGCTGGACGGAACACTGGAAATGCTGAGAACAGACTGGGGAGGGGTGAAGGCCCGGCCCCCGCCAGGCCCGGGCGGCCTCGAGTACAGGGCGCCCAGGGGACCGACCGCCAGGTGACAGATTCTCACACCAGGAGAGGCCCGGTCTGCTGATGCCTGCCTGTCACAGGGCACAGCCTGGGCGTGCGTAGGACTTGGGGAACTGGGGCCCCTGCGGACGGGTGGCAAGGTGAGCAGCCGGACAGAGTTCTGAGCACGGACACCGTGTTCCGTGTGATTTCCAAAGACCTTATAACCCGTGGACACCAGCAAAATGGACGAGTGCAGGAAGAAGATGAAGGATGCCGCCACAGGGCAGCGTGGGGCTCGGGTGGGATGGCGGGGGATTCTCAGAACCCCCAGGTGAGGTCCGAAGGTGCTACAACAGCAGATGGAGCCGAAAGGGCAGAGGAAGAATGGATGGCCGCAGATGAGCAGACACACTCACCCAGGAGAAAGTCCAGCATTTTCCACCAGCAGGACGTCAGGACCTACCAGAGAGGGTTTGCCGGGGGACTGCATGGGATCTGTCACTCACCTGTTTAGAAAACAGTTCTGCCAGCCACGGGGGCAGCCTGTGCGTGGCCCTTGGGGACGAAATGGTCTCTTCATCCGGGTGGAGTGGGGGCCGAGTTTCCTCCCGCTCCCTCTGAGCCCACACTCTCATCTCCTGGGACTCAGTCATTCTTTGGGGCGCCTGCTCCTGAAGCCAAGAAACAGATAAAAAATATATTGTCTCCTGGAATAAATAAAATTTCCTTGCGTCATCCTCGCCTCCAGGAGGACTCCGGTAATAACGAAGTCAAGCAGGTTTTGTTGTGTGTGCGTGTGTTTTAATAAACAAGAGCCATTTCCCCAGCCTCGTGTTAAACAGAATTCTATTCTGCAGGACGACTCTGTGGTGTGTTTTGAAAACAAAAATCTGCAAATTATAAAGGCCTCTGCCATGTCCCAGAGGGTGGGAACAGTTGCTCTCTGTGCAGAGCTGGCAGGATCGGGGGATGCAGTCACCCCAGCTCCACGCCACTGCACTGCAACCCTGGGTGCCCACCGGGACTTCCCCAGAGTTATGTCCATGTCCCTTCCTCACGGGTGCCCTTGGCATTCCAGGGCCTCTGCTCCTCATTCGGTCCCACTAACACTTGCAAAGTAATGGGGCTGGGGCTGCACCCGGCGTGTACTGTGGGTCTTTCTTAACCAGGAAAAGAATATCTCAGAGGCCGACATCTACAGCACAAGCTGTTCTGCCTCCTTGGCGCAAGTACGAGGGCTCGTTCCTTCCAAAATGCTCCAATATCCTGCGGGCTTGAAAATAGTAATCCCCCCTCGGCTGATTGACTCAGAGCGGTTTTGGAGTGAGAGCCATAGCAGCGGACTCTACCGGAGCACCCCAGACACGACGCCGCTCCTCCGACAGCCCCACGCGCTCCTGCCGCCCAGTGTCGATGTCCAGGCTCATCCCCAGAAGGCAGTGCTCCGTCAGGCCAGTCTCCAGGGCCCTGCAGCCCCAGACAGGGACCGGGCTGGCTATGGGACCTGAGCTTGACCTCCTGAGACAGCCCAGAGAGGCTTCCGCCCCAGGCTGCCCAGCCCGCCCAGCAGAGGGAACTGGGGACCTGTTCTGCAGGAGGAAAGCATTCAACTAGCTACTGCACCCTCACTGGGGGCCCAGCCCCAGGCGGGGCTGTGACCGTGAAAAACTCTTTTGAAGACAGAACGGGAAGAAGGGGGAGGGAAAGCTTTGCAATGTGCCCCTCATCGGTGATGGCTACAAGTGCATTGGCTGGAGACCACGCCATCATGGAGGAGAATCACCAGCAAGTGGAAAACGCACTTTCAATTTTAATAGTGATGGAAACTAATCAAAACCAGCTTCCAATCTGCAGTGTATTATGAGTCCAATAAATAACTTTGATTCAAGCAATTACTTAAAATTGAAATTTGCTAAGTGAGGAGAATGAATCATTCATTAGCACAGGGAAACCTGTTACCCGAGAAGGAACTGGGAGTCCCCGGGCTAGAAAGGGGGTGGGGGAGCCTCCTTCAGTGGAGAAAGGGGTGGGGGAGCCTCCTTCAGCGGAGAAAGGGGTGGGGTGCTTCCTTTGGCGAGATGGAGAGGGGCCCACGCCCGGCGGCGCCCATGGGAGCCAGGCCCAGTCACAGCCCAGTGCTTTCAGTCTTGAGTCTTTGCGGCCCAGGTTTGCTTTACCTGTGTGGTGTCTTTAATTGGATAGCTTTGCTGCGTGTATTAATTTGGTTTCCCCCAGAATAAGAAATTAGGTTTCAAGCCCACGTTGTTTACTTGAGAGGGGCAGGGACCACCAGCAGAGAAGCGGGAAAGTAACGCAGAGAACAGGAAGACGGCCGGCCGGCCGAGAGCTGCCGCTGACCGGCCACCCCAGGAAGGGAAGGGCCCATCAGCGGAGCAGGGGCCCCCGGCGGTGCGGTGGCCGCGCCCTCACGCACAGCATGCTGCATCGAGAAGGAGAGCTGAGATCGCAGGTGTCGTGAAGACTGCAGAGGGAACTACTAGATTGCTACCGGCTGACCTTGAGATGGGAAATCTTCTGGGCTTGTCTGGGAGGGAGGGACCAGTGCACTCCTGAGTGTCCTAAACAACACGGAGGCGGGGGAGGAGTTAGGGTCAGAGTGATGGATGCGGGAAGACTTGCCTGGCCGAGGCTGGCTTTAGATTTCTGACCGTAAGAACCGCAGGATGATAAGTTTGTGTCGTTTCAAGCCACTGTGTCTATCACAACTTGTTATACAGCAGCAAGAGGGCACTAACGCAGGTGCCTTTTGGAAATTCTGAGACATTCCCAAAGGGAGGTGCTCCGTCCGGCTGGTCTCCTGGGCCTCAAAGCCCCAGACAGGGGCAGGCTGGTTATAGGACATGAGCTCCACCTATAGAGAGGGACCTGGGTACTGATACCTCGGTCACTGGTCAAGGCCCCCTGGAGGCTGGGGCAGAGTACCGGAGTGGCTTTCCGTGGCCCCAGGAAAGCCGTCAGGCTCAGGGATGCGGCTGCCATGGGGAGTCGGTGGGTGCTCCGTAAACGGCAGGCTCTGAGCGGTGTGGGCCAGCATGCCCTTAGCTGGGGACAGGAAACCCACTGTTGAGGATCTACTGTGTCCCAGGCACCATGCTAGGTCCTAGTCCTTCCTGAGAGCCTGCTTTACACCAGTTTCATAGCAACTTCTACACCATGTTTACTCCATGTTTACTGTGCGAGGAAACTAAGGCCCAGAGAGGTTAAGTGATTCACCCAAAGTCACACAGCTTGCAAGTGGCAGAGTAGGGCTGGAACCAGGGCCACCTGACCCCGGAGCTGGCCCCTTCCCGCTCTGCCATGGCAAGGATGCTCACCTGGGAGCAACCTGCTCTCTGCTGACCCTCAGGTCGGACACTCGATGCAGTTCAGAGGTCTCCGAGAGAACACCACACACAGCGGCTCCGCGAACAAACATGGAGAGACCATGCTGTCGTCGAGCCCCTCCCTCGGACTGCCCCTCCCTCAGGGCTCGGCAGGGACACGGGCCCGGCCAGGAGTCCCCAGTGACTGGCTCCAGAAATGGACCCACACAGCCAGTGGTGGCTCGAAACCCTCCTCTGAGGGAGGGGGGAGGAGGCAGCCCGATCAGGAGCTGAGGACCTCGGGATGCTGATCAACACAGGAAGAACCGCCCTGCGCAGGAAGTGCCCATGCTGTCTCCCCGGACCTCAGGGGTCCTCGGTGAGAAGGGCTGCCCTCCCCCCATGTTCCTGCCCCTCCTCTCACCCCATGTCCCCACTGTCACCCCCCCCCGAGAGGGGGACTGGTCAGCTGGGTGCTCAGACATGGGGCAGCAGGGCCACCGCGTGCGTCTCCTTCTGTGCTTCCTGCGTCCAAAGTGTCTTAGTCTATTCAGGCACTGTTACAGAAGTGTCCTTGGTGGCTTATAAGGCACAGAAATTTGCTTCTCATGCTCCAGAGGCTGGGACGTCCAAGGTCAAAGTGCCAGCAGACTCGGAGTCTGAGGACTCACTTCCCGATTCAGACAACTGTCTCCTGCGGCCTCACATGGCGGGGGGGGGGGGGGGGGCTGAGGGAGCTCCCAGGGGTCTCCTTCCCAAGAGCATTCACCCCGTTCACAAGGGCTCCACCTTCCTGACCTAGTCACTTCCCAAAGGCCCCACCTCGGAACACCAGAACACTGTCGTACCATCATTTTGGGGATCAGGTCTCAGCCTGCGAGCTTTGGGGTGTGCAAACACTCAGTCTACGGCAGCATGTGAACAGGAAGGGGCAGGTAGACTGGTCTTGCTCACGAGGCCCTGGGGGCCCTTCTGGCAGATGCAGACACCCTGGATTTACCTGTGGGAAGGAGGAAACTCCCTTTAGGCCTGGTGGCCAAGCCGAGCTCCCACTCCAGCCACTACCAGAAGCTACCAGATGCTGCCCCAGCTCCTAACAAGCAGTTAGTTGCTTGTGACAAACCCCCAGAGCGGAGAGAAGGAGACCCCAAGCCCACATGGTGGTCTGAAAGAAAGGCTCAGCCTGTGTCCCGGGCTGTGGTGCAGACCCACCGAGGCCTGATGCAGGGACCGCAACCAGGGAAAGGAGGGGGAATGGGTTCCAGTTGAGATGCTCCAGCGTCCACGTCAGAGATGTTCCTTCTGGGCCACCTCGTCACCCTCCTGGTTGCCCCCCACTAGCTGGTGGCCTGGTCCCTAGAAACAGACTCCAGGATGCAAAGTCTCCTGAAGGACACTTACTCTCGGTGGTCCCCGGAGAGAACACCTGAAAGGGAGTGAGAAAGGCAGTGTTGAGCAGAGGGAGAATCTGGCCACCACGCAGGGGGTGACGTGGTGGCCTGTGAGGCCTCGGATGAAACCAGGGCAGCAGTGGGGCCAGGATGGTCCCTCGGAATTGAAGTCGGGGGGACCAGGCCTTCATAACTGCACCCCTCCTCCACCGGGCAGTCATGAGAATAGGCTGCTCTTTGGGTGAGGGAGTTCCCCATGGCCAAGGGCCATTTCCACTGAAGGCTGCAGTGGGAAGACACCCCCAGGATCTGGGGGTGTGTTCGGAGGCCCCGGAGATGCAGGAGTCTCTATGGAAGCACCAGTGACCACGGCAGGAGCGAGAAGGTGCTGCCCAAGGCAGGCAGTGGGTGGAGCCTGGAGGGAGGGTGTCTCCCTGTGGCTTCCATGGGGGTGGACCAGCCCCACAGCCCCCCACACCTGCCAGGACCCCGCAGGGGCAGCCTCTCCTGTCCTCAGGCCCCAGGGGACCTCCGGGAGCCGGCCTGTCCCCCCCACCGAGCTGCTAACAGACACATCCGAGTCACAGCATGTCACTTCTAAGAAGCTTTGAAACCCATTTCTGACACGGCTCTGCCCAGGAAGATGAAAAGCCTTCCAAACGGGGAATCAGAAGGCCTCCGAGCCAGAACAGAGTGGGTGGGCTCCCCAACACAGAGAAGCAGGCGCCTTTGTGCTCCCGACAGTGGGACGGAAGCGCCCGGATGAAGACACGCGGTGGGTCTGAGCCACACAGTCGCAGTTCCGGGATCTCGAAAGTGGCGACGGAAGCCAGCCAGTCCCAGGCGGGGGTCAGGAAGATGAGCAG